GCCAACGGAACAGAAAGGACAAAACGATACGTACAAACAACTGAACAAATTGCACTAAGACTAATAACACGAATAAGACACCCCCAAAACCCCCTGGACAACCCTTCCAACCAACTACTATACGAACGCATAAACATGACCAAAATTTCGGAAAGACTAATACACTTACAGACAAAATGGACAAACAACCCTCACAACTGGACCATACTGAATCCCCTTTGCCTAACAAGACGGGCAAAACATTCCCGTTTTCGTACCCCAACAGATACTTCACTAGAACACCTACAAACGCAACTGAACTAACGACTAAGACCTGTTTGTTTTGTGGGCCAGGAATTTTTTATTTTTTTTTTGTCACTGATTGAATTATACCAGTGTTAGGAATAGGACTTAATTTTAGAATAAGCTAGGCTAAGACATATATGTACTACTCAACTTTTTCTATAGGAAATAAAGATTATTTATATATATATGTAGAGGCCATAATAAAATAAAATATCGAGAAAACCGTCGCATAAGAATGTTATAAATGTTTAAATTCTACGAAAGTTGTACATATAAATATGCAAAACCGTGCGCTTACCACCAGCATTAACAATTTTAGAGTTCTGTATTAACAGAAATTCGCTATTTTATTTTACTTTGGCTTTATATTTGTACATTATCAGTAGAACCTTTTATTGTGTGTTTATATGATTCTGGCATCATTCCTTCATTAATATAAACTATTTTCCTGGGTTTCAGTCATTTATTTCAAATTCGCAAATTATTTTTTTTTGAAGTTTCTGTGTTTTTCCATTATCTTCAGTTTGTATGAAACAATCATTTTGTCCATTTACTAACATATGAACTATTATAACATTTTAAGGTTTGAAATTTAGAAAAAAAAACGGTCACATTGTTTATCAGCTCAGCCTGTCATACTAAATATTAAAACTAAAGATAAGAATTCAGGAACACAGAGTCTGGGAAAAGACCAGAATTTCACCTGTGTTCCTGAATTCTTACCTTTACTTTTAATAATTTTAGAGTGTTTCAATATGACAGGATGTGCCGATAAACAATGTGACCGTTTTTTTATCTAATTAAAACATTTTGAAATCTTATAATAGTTCATACGTTAAAGTTTTAACAATTGGTTGTTTCAGACAAACTGAAGATGTGAAAAAATGCCAAAACGTTTTTAAAAATGAATAATTTGTGAATTTGAAATAAATGTCTGAAATCCAGGAAAATAGTTTATTTTAAAATTGAAAATAGTTAGGAAAACTTACAAGAGCATTCCTTCAGTTTCGTCAAAATTTAATTTGCTGAGGAACGAAATGTGCGTTTAAATCGATCCAAAACCCAATATGTTCAAGTTATTTTAATACAAATTTTCAGTAAATCCAATAGATATTAGTTATAAAAAATCTAAACTCGAAAAATATTTTTATATTGATTAATTTACGTTTTGTCATTAAACAAACATCATACCTGTGATCAACTGCTCCTGATAAACATGCAAAAAAGTGGTATTTTGCCACTGAATAGCTTCAGCAATAGTTTCCAATTGAATTATACATCCAGGTCGGGAGGTGCTTTGCTGGGAAACAATATTGATGTTTTCCAAAAGAGTGTCTTCATTAAACGAAGACATGTCCGACATATCACTCATGTGATCGCAATGCTTTTGTCTGGTCTCTTTGAATGATAAATCAGCCAATAAATTTCTAGCGTCAATCACCGCTTGATATACTCTCAAACATTGTCCATCTGAAGCTACAAAGCAAGCGCTTGGCGAGTTGGAGAGATTGCCAAGTGTGCTTGAAGGAAGCAAAGTGGGTATCCAAGCGACGTTACTAAAAGCTGCCGGTTCTGGCGAGCTAATTCTAGCTAATTCGCAAATTCCACCTGATTTTGATAGTGGACCCACTGCGTCTACTTTCCAAAGGATTAGTTCACTGCAAAAACCCTGAAAAAAGCGCTTTCATTTTCTTCGTGTAAACAAGACTAAACAAGAGATATTTGCGCTAAAATCGAAATACTTTAAGATATAATGGCTAGGTTGTTTCTAATAATTCATACCTAATTCATGAGAATGAACATAAAATATGTATATTTTACTTACATTCGATTTTTGATGGCTTTTGGTTTGATCCACAATATTGTGATGACTCGTAGTTAAAAGCAAAGGTAAAACTGGATGGCAACTGATATCATTAACTCTGAATCGATGCCCTGATGCTCTACTCCGATGTCCAATACTCAAAACTTGAGCAAACTTACTCTGATCAGCGAACGTTAAGTGCCATAAATTCAAAGTGCCATTATCATGCTTGGTCACCAAATATACCACAGGAACTGAATCGTTTTGATCGTCACCCAAACAGAAACTCTATAATGATTTTTTGGTAGAAATTTTATAAGCGAATTGTAATTTGTTTACTACCTCTAGCTCTGGCTTATTTTCATCTTCCTCCTTAACACTGCTTAAATTTCGATTATAATACTCTCGGTTCACTGCTTCTTTGACTAAATGTTTGACCAAAGGGGTTGTGCTGTATAAACTCACGGTAGTAGACATACTCATAGAATCACCAACAGGGAAAGCTGATGGAATTCGGGTTGAAAAAGACACCTGGGCCTGACGGAAGGAACCCGGATGAAACTCGTCCAACCACTCAACCACCCTATAAACAGTTTTAAATTCACCAGTTTTACCTTCGACATCTAAAATTTGTCCTACCAAATTAAATAACTGCCATCGACCGGATGTATACTGAACAATAAATCTGGACTATGATGCCAATCCCTCAAAAAGCTTTCTATTCTCGCATCTACTCCGTCTGTGGCACCAGATTCCATCATTGGTTCCAAGCTGCTTTCATCTGAATCCGGATTTTCAACTACCGGCCTGCAAATTCCAATGGAACATTTCCCAAAGTCTTAATATTTTGAAGCCTCTTAAATACCTTGCAAATTCCTCTAAGAAAAGTTCAGCTTGAAGGCTGAATTGCATTTCTTTATTATCCAGCCAATGCAATACAAAGGCCGGCCTGGGATTGCAATAACTGATGTTAGGAACCAAAGGTATGTCTGTTTCTGCATTTACAGAAGCTGCGAGATGGAAATGCAGCCCTGGCGTAACACCTAATGATAACAAACAAGGCATTGCAGTGTCAAAAACAATGCGAAAAAAAACGACGAAAAATATGTAATTATTTAATTGCGTGCACATCGTGTGATCTAGATGATAGTAAATTGAATGTTACAACTTTAATTTATAGACGAAATAATATATGTATGTAACTTTTAAAAACTGTTACTTCATTTATTTTAAAAGCGTGTACAAAAGATAACAAAAATTGGACGACACGTTCAATTCAACGGGTTTCCAATCCAAAGCTCTAATATCCAAACGAATTAAATAATTCAAATATAAGACAGAAATGTGAAGATGCAGATGAATTCATGAGCAAATTAACCAAAACAGTATCGTCACTGAGTTGATACAAAACATTTAAAATTTCTGAAATGGTTCCGATCTGAACTATCAAAATTGAAAAAGAGCGAACTAAGCTTTAAGAATAAATAGGCTGAAGTTATATGAGAACCTTGCTTCTATAATCTTACCTGTTCCGTGATATCCATAAGAATGGAAGTCGTGGACACTATAAGTAGATGGCAAAGTGGGTATAGGTTGGGATGATCCTACAAAGCCATGCAGCTGATGTTTTGCATTCCTCCGTATGTGGAAACATGTCCTAAAATAACAAAGTTTTCTTAAAGTAACTAACTCGTGGTTTAAGAAAAAATGCTGTTAGCGAATATTATGCAAATAAAATAACACTCAGTGAGTAATACCATTGTCTCTATATTAATACTCATTCAACCGAACCCATTGAAAGGCGCTGCCATTATACAATAGACTTGAATAAATTAGAATATAGAAAAAAAAATAAGAGGGACACAGATTGACAATCGAAGACAAATAATGTAATCAAAAAGGCGGATGGATGAACTGCAAGATAAAAGTTTTCACCAATATTCTCAAATCTCCTTACATCTCTGTTTCATAACAATATCGACGTAACTTTTAAGAACACTTTAACACTAATTTCCTGCTTATTACACTAATTTCGTCTTTCTTCCACTAATATGTACAGTGTGAGAACATGATGGTATTTCAATTTATTCTTCTAAATTGGTGATACTTTAAACAATTATTAGCTTCAATAGAAAATGATCTCCTCAAAAGGTATTTTTTTCGGTTTTAATACTTTAAAAGTTAACGACTGAAAATTATATTTCTGATAGGACAATCTTCTGAAGGTTATTGAGTTGAATGTAGAAATACCGTATAAATTTTGATATTTATTGAAAAATATGTTTACTATGGTTTCGCTGGCGTATATTTTCCTCAGTTGAATGAGTTAATATATACACAATGGTATTTCTCCGAACAAACAAACGGATTAGGCAAATTGGGACCAAAAAATCAGAATGAAAATAATCGCTTCATATACCTTTACTTCTACTAATATACAGTACAAAATTACTAAAGTTGTCCAATCGCAGATATTTTTTCTCTGGCTGAGAAGTATCTTCCAATTATGTAATTAAACTGATTGAAATAATATCTGCTGCAAGCAGTAAAAATGAAGACTAAAATGTTAAACGCGATAAGAACTGATTTAAAGTCAAGCCGCATATAATGAAAAATCGCAAAGAAGCGCGTCGCACTCATCAGAGAATACCCATTCACACTTACCCACAATAAATCATCCTGGTTATATTATAATACAAAAAAATAGATATCCATTTGCTAACGGCAAAAAATTCAAATTAACTCGCATCATCAAGACAAACAGAATTAATGAAGGACTGTTCAATATTTTCCTTTCCACTTATTCTTTATAAGATGATTTTCATGTAACAACTAATATTGACCAGTCCCACTTTTGACTTAGATATACATCTTTTAATCGCGTTAAAGCAGTTTACTTACTTCATATGCTTTAACCTTTGCATAAATCTATGCTTATGTCTGTGAGTTCGGAATTTAGGATGATGTGCCTGAGGATCTAACTGGGACAAATTCACAAGTCCATCCTCAGGAAGTACTGTTTCAACCCACAATCGACAAATATTGTCCTTGCATGATGTTAACAGCATATTAGAAACGGAACCTCTGCAAAAATCAAACATTATTGTCTAGGGATTCTATTAAAACTCAAACCATCATACTTAGGCATATATTTGCTGGTATTCCTCCAGGACACATGAGTAACAGCTCTAGGATGCGCAATGTAAACAAACCCATAATCAAGTTCTTGAGGGCCTTCAACACTCTTGGAAGTGAAGAGAACTTTAAAAAATTAAATAAGAAATAGCTCCAGTCATATGGAAAAGCTGAGAAGTCACTCACAATGTTTATTTTCATACCATATCTTCACCAGTCGATCATTTTCACCGCAAGTAGCAAAAAGCGTTCCATCTGGTGAAAATGCCAAATGCTGGACTGGTATAGCAGTATTTGCCTTCCAAACACATTGCCACGATGTTTGTTCTTGTTCTGATAAGCAACAAATATACAAAACATTCAAATTAATTTCTGAACGGTTAGTGGAATACCTTGAGGCTTATCCGGTTCATCCGAGGTTTCATTCTCTTCTCCACCACCACCGAGAGTGAAGGTAACAGGAGGCTGTTCTTCATGGGCCTGCTGTTTAAGGTGCCAAAGTTGAACATCATTGCCGGCTGTTAAAAGACGTGTTCCTTCGAGGTTCCAGCTCAGCGCCCGAATTGGCGTGTCAGTTTTCAAACTTCCAGTTTGGACCCATCTATAGTCTAGTCCCTAGTAATGAATATCTACTATGTATCTAGCTCTTTAATGGGGACGATTCGAAGGAATTATTTTGCTTATAAATTAGAGTGATTAAAGTAGAAAGCTGGAAATTGAGTTAGGTGGTTTTATACATAAGTTCAAATAAAATAATATAAGGGTGAAAGAAAGATAACAAACCGATGCAATAGACGCCTGTTTGGGATTTTTTTAGGCTCTCGACCAGTTAAAAACACGGTTTTTCTTCTTTTGGCTATACTTAAAGCACTTAAGCAAAAACACTCTGTAGAGCTAAAAAGTAAATCAATTTCGAACCGGGCCATTCTATTTTCAACAACATTCCGCGGTTTAAATACTTATTTAAAAAGAAAAACTTTCAGCACCTCAACATTGTAATAAATTACGAAGGATCAGAAGCGGTTCAATCAGACCCCCCCTTGTGCTGGGTTTCTGTCGACTGACGATAATTTTTCTAATTTTATAGACAACAAAAGACCGAATTTCTACTACTTGACCCTCCCCCCCTTACTCGAGAGCTGGATCCGCCCCTGTGTACATTAAGGTATCTCTAAAGTGTCTAGATGTATAATCAATGTTAAATTGCTGCTTAATAGTCAAGGATTATGCCTCAAACAACTTTTCAACTCTATTATAAAATCACACTGGTTAAAAATAAGTGAAATATGAGTTGGTTAACTTGACTTAATTTGTTAAAAGTGAAAGAATTGTGAAAAAGCAAAAAATACTAACACCACTATACCTTAACCCCCCGGTGTTTTTTAGTTGGCCTCTGAAATATTAATGAGTTTCTGACAAAAACACGTAATACAATGCCAGACTTAATAAATTACTTAGTGATTAGATAAGTAGACGGTACTAGATTACTGAATTTATTGGCAAGATTCAGTCAACAGTGAATAATTAATTTAAAGCGTACATACAATTACCAATTTCCTTACATATCTGGACACATGATATGTTATCCAATTGTTCATACAATAGTACATAAACATATATATACTTATTAACAAATAAGTACTCAAGAATTGCCCCAGTAATAACTTACATGTGGAGAATTGTTGTGTATTAAAGGTGTGGGCTCATAAATGCATACAATATTGTCATAAGCAGCAGCGATTTTTCCAGTATCACTGGAGCAATCTATAGAGCTTATTCGGATGTAATCATGAACAGCACCAGGTATAATTTGCACTCTTTCGAAGGTGGATGCTAGAATTACGATGTTACATCCTGCAGCGTAAGCCTAAAATAGGTCGTAAAATTAAACTACATAATTCTGGGGCTGAGCTAAAACGCAAGATTAAACCACCTTAACTGGCACTAAAGTAAATAATAAAGTTTATTTAACATCTAGACCTACTGTAAAAGGAACTCCTTCAACAGATCCAACAGCAAAGCATTTATCGCCCGCATTGCAAGCACCGCTTACAATTTGATGCAGATTCATTTTTAGATATTCAAAATGCACTTAACACTCGAGATCATTTTTATTGGACAATGCAATTAAAAATTGAGGTCGCACTAATTTATCAATAATCTTTTTACATTTTTTGACAATTATCAGCTGACCAGGGCCTGCTCACTCTCGTGCAATGACAGTTCTGCGTTAATATAGTTTACTCAGACCACGGCGCGCTGTTATCGCGCCTCTCAGCTGATCTCAGCTGATCGAAGAAGTTATTTTCAGGCTTGCCAGGTCTACCGTTTTACGGTGGGTCTCCCGTTTTCATGAGAGCTACTGCTCTACCGCTATGCCATAAGAACCTACTGCTAAACGTTACGTTAAACACTTTAAATATAACTATTATGTATTACACTATTTGTCAACAAATCAGCTACATTGCACCGCGATTGGCGATTGGATTACTGTTTTTTTTTTTCGTTTTTCGTTTTTCGGTAACACCTTCTTGGCTGAAGACCACTTCAAAAGTTTTGTTTTTAAATCGATTCTATAACTATCTATCTAATCTATGTTTTTTATGTCTATTCTACCGCTTTCGTAGTACTTGACCTGGCAACACTGGTCATCTTGTGAAAATTGTAACCATATTTTTCCAATAACAAAACAAAATGGTTACTTAAGTGATTCTAATTTGCTTCACAGGAATTCACAAT